TTTTTTTTTTTTTTTTGATGCTATTGTACATGGGATTGTTTTCTTAATTTCGTTTTTGGATTGTTAATTGTATGTGTATAGAAATGCAACTTATTTTTGTTTGTTGATTTTGTATCCTGCAACTTTAATTTGTTTATCAGTTCTAACGTGTGTGTGTGTGTGTGTGTGTGTGCACGTGTGTGGAATTATTAGGGCTTTCTACATATAAGGTCAGATCATCTATAAACAGACAGAATATAACTTCTTCCTTTTTAATTTAGTTGCCTTTTATTTCTTTTTCTTGCCTAATTGCTCTTGTTAAGACTTCCAGTACTGTGTGAATAGAAGTGGCAAGAGTGAGCATCTTTGCCTTGTTCCTGATTTTAGAGGAAAAGCTTTCAGTTTTTCACCATTGAGTATGCTGTTAGTTACCATGGGCTTTTCATAGATGGCCTTTATTAGGTTAAAGTAATTTCCTTCTATTCCCAGTTTGTTGAGTGGTTTCTTATCATGAAAAGGCATTAGATTTTGTCAGGTGCTTTTTTTTTGTATTTATTGAGGTGATCATGTGATATTTATCCTTTGTTCTGTTGATGTGATGTATTGCTGTGTTGATTTTCATATGTTGGAAGTATCCTTGCATCACAAGGATAAATCCCACTTGGTGATAGTGTATGATCCTTTTAATCTGCTGTTGAAGTTGATTTGCTAATATTTTGTTGAGGATTTTGCATTCATGAGGGATATTGGCCTATAGTTTTCTTTTCTTGTAGTGTCTTTGGCTTTGGTGTCAGAGCAATGCCGGCTTCATAAAATGAGTGTGAAAGTGTTCCCTCCTCTTCAGTTTCTTGGAAGAGTTTGAGAAGGATTGGTGTTAATTCTTCTCTAAATGTTTGGTAGATTCTCCAGTGAAACCATCTGGGTCTGAGCTTTTATTTTTTGGGAGGTTTTGACTACCACTTCAGTCTCTTTACTAATTACAGATCTGGTCAGATTTCTTGTTATTTTATGATTCAGTCATTGTCGGTGTATGTTTCTAGGAATTTGTCCATTTCTTCTTGGTTATCCACATTGTTGGCATATAGTTGTTCATAATGGTCAATAATAAAATAATAAAATAATCATTTATTTTATTTCTGTGACATAAGTTTTTTTTAATTCTTTGTAATGTTTATTTATTTTTGAGAGAGAGAGAAAAAGCGTGAGCTGGGGAGGGGCAGAGAGAGAGAGAGAGAGACAAAGAATCCGAAGCAGGCTCCAGGCTCTGAGCTGTCGGCATAAAGTCTGATGCAGGGTCCGAACCCACAAACTGTGAGATCATGACTTGAGCCAAAGTCGGATGCTTACCCCTGAGCCACCCAGGCGCCCCTCTGTGACATAAGTTTAATGTCACATCTTTCATTTCTGGCTTTGAGGATTTTCTCTTTTTTTCTCCATCTAGCTAAAAGTTTGTCAATTTTGTTGATCTTTAAAAAAAAAAAAACAACTCTTAGTTTTCCTTTTTTTTCTATTTTATATTCTCTACTCCATTTACTTCTGCCATAATGTTTATTCTTTCTTTTCTTCCTTTAACTTTGGGTTTAGTTTGTTTTTCTAGTTCCTTGAGCTGTAACATTAGGTTGTTTATCTGAGATCTTCTTTTTTAATAATAAACTCCACTCTTTCTATTGCTTTTGCTACATCCATAAGTTTTGGTTTGTTGTGTTTTCACTTTGCTTACCTCAAAATATTTTCTGATTTCCCTTTTGATTCTTCTTTGGCCTATTAGTTGTTCAAGAGTGTGTTGTTCAATTTCTACATTTGTGAATTTTCCAGTTTTCCTCCATCTGTTGATTTCCAGTTTCATTCTGATGTGGTCAGACAGGATATTGTGTATGATTACAGTCTTCTTAAATTTGTTAAGACTTGTTTTGTGACATAACATGTGATCTGTCCTGGAGGATGTTTTGTGTATGCTTACGAAGAACATGTATTCTTTAAAAAAAAATTGTTTTTAACGTTTATTTACTTTTGAAAGACAGAGAGAAACAGGGTATGAGCAGGGGAGGGGCAGAGAGAGAGGGAGATACAGAATCCTAAACAGGCTCCAGGCTCTGAGCTGTCAGTAGTGCAGGGTTAGAACTCATGAACCGTTAGATCATGACCTGAGTCGAAGTTGGAAGCTCAACCAACTGAGCCACCCAGGTGACCCAAGAACATATATTCTGCTGCTGTTGTGTGGAAATGTCCACTTGGTCTGTTGTGTTGTTCAAGTCCTCTGTTTCTTTGTGGATGTTCTATCCATTATTGAAAATGGAGGATTGAAATTCTGATATTATTGTGTTGCTGTTACTGTCTTCAGTTTTTTAATGTTTGTTTCACATATTTGGGTGCTCTGATGTTGGCTTTACATATACTTGTAATTGTTATATCTTCCTGGTGAACGGGCCCTTTTATCATTATATATGTCCTTCATTGTCTCTTGTGACAGTTTTTGATGTAAAGTCTATTTTATCCAATGTTAGTATGGCCACTCCTGCCTGCTCTCATTTTGTTTCTGTTTGTATAGAATATCTTTTTACATCCTTTTACTTTCAACTGAAAGTGTGTCCTTCAATCTCAAATGAGTCTCTAGTACACAGCATATGGTTAGATCTTGCATTTTTTAAAAAAATCCATTTAGCCATCAGAAGTATTACAGTTCTTAAACATTTATTTGAACTCAGTCAATCTGTAAATCTTGTTGCTTTTATTTTTATTCTTTTGTTTTTGAACTTTTATTTGTGGCAACATTTTATTTTATTTATTTATTTATTTATTTTGTAAGTAAGCTCTATGCCCAGAATGGGGGCTTGAACTCATGATCCCGAGATCAAGAGTGGCATGCTCTACTGACTCAGCCAGCCAGGTGCCCCTGGTTGCTTTTAAATCACCTATTTCTCAGAACTAAAGTAACTGGAATTTTCTCCTCCTCCTCATTTAATATTCTTATTATCTCTTTCTCCTTTAACAGACACCATATCTGATTCATTGACAAGACCACAATCTGATTCCAAAGATGTGTTCCACAAACCCAGGCAACTGGGTCACATTTGATGATGACCCTGCTTTTCAGTCTTCTCAAAAGTCAAAGAATTTACCTCTGGAGAATCAAGGCATTTGTAGGCCAAATGGACTTAAGCTGAACCTCTCTGGTGCTAAGGAGTTTCCCAGTGGATCTTCCTCTGCCAGCAATACCCCCCTCTCCTCTCCCATCATAGACTTTTACTTTAGTCCAGGACCTCCAAGTAACTCTCCTCTTTCTACACCTACGAAGGACTTCCCAGGTATTCCTGGCATCCCCAAAGCAGGGACGCATATGCTTTATCCTATCCCAGAATCATCCTCAAACAGTCCACTTACAATATCAGGAGCAGGCTCTTCCTTATTGCCTAGCAAACCAACTTGTTTATCCCATGCTTCCTTACCCAGTGACCACTCATGTACACATCCAGCTCCCAAAGTGGGTCTTCTGGAAGAAGTTAGCCCTCCCCAGGCTGAAAGCCTAGGGTTTCAAAGTGATACTCCCCAGTTTCAGTATTTTCGGGAGGACTGTGCTTTTTCAAGTCCATTTTGGAAAGATGAAGGCAGTGCTTCCCAGTTCATCTTTGACCCTCCAGGAAGCAGAAAGGCTTACCCACCAAGAGACAAAGAGATGCCTATCGATCAAAAAAGCTTAAATCAGTGTTCACTCAACTATATCTGTGAGAAGCTTGAACATCTTCAATCAGCTGAGAACCAAGACTCATATGGAAATTTGTCTATGCAGTCTCTGTATGGTGAAGACACTGCCTCTTCCTTTGTCCCCCCCATGCTCTTCAGGAGTCAGCCAAAACCCGGATGGTCTTTTATGTTGAGAATTCCCGAGAAGAAGAACATGATGTCTTCCCGTCAGTGGGGACCAATTTTTCTAAAAGTCTTACCTGGAGGAATTTTGCAAATGTATTATGAGAAGGGGTTAGAAAAACCATTTAAGGAGTTACAGCTCGATCCACATTGCAGGCTTTCTGAACCAAAAGTTGAGAACTGTAGTGTGGCAGGAAAAATCCATACTGTGAAGATTGAACATGTGTCTTACACAGAAAAAAGGAAATACCATTCTAAGACAGAAGTAGTTCATGAACCAGACATCGAACAGATGCTGAAGTTGGGGTCCACAGAGTACCATGATTTCCTTGACTTCCTGACTACTGTGGAGGAGGAGCTGACAAAGCTGCCAGCTGGTTCAAAACCAAAAAAGAACTATGAGGAACAAGAAATTTCCCTAGAAATTGTGGACAACTTTTGGGGCAAAATCACTAAAGAAGAAGGAAAATTGGTTGAAAGTGCTGTCATAACTCAGATCTATTGCCTCTCTTTTGTAAATGGGAACACAGAATGCTTTTTAACCTTGAATGACCTCGAGCTGCAGAAGCGAAACGATCGCTACTTTGAAAAAGACCCAGAAAAGAAGGGGATTGATATTCTCGACTATCATTTTCATAAGTGTGTGAAAGCACAAGAATTCGGGCAATCAAGAATCATTAAGTTTGTACCGCTGGACGCCTGCCGGTTTGAACTGATGCGTTTTAAGACTTTGTATAACGGGGAGGATCTTCCCTTTTCCCTGAAGTCTGTAGTGGTTGTCCAGGGGGCGTATGTGGAGCTTCAGGCCTTTGTCAACATGGCCCCATTGGCTCAGAGATCTTCCTCTGCCAGTTCCTTGAGGTCCTGTGACAACATAATGATACACTTTCCTGTCCCATCACAGTGGATCAAGGCCCTCTGGACCATGAACCTCCAGAGGCAGAAGTCCCTGAAAGCCAAAATGAACCGCCGGGCATGTCTAGGGAGTTTACATGAACCTGAATCAGAACCTGTTATACAGGTCACTGTGGGGTCAGCAAAATATGAGAGTGCCTACCGGGCCGTGGTATGGAAGATAGACCGGCTTCCTGATAAAAATTCAAGTAAATATTCAATACCCCAAGTTGATTTTCACATGAAATAGCTTAAACGTTTTCACTTGTCTCCTTGGGTTGAAACCAGGCTGAGATAGATAACTTCAGTCCATTGAGGCCTTGCTTACATTGCCTGGTAGGAGGTGGAACATTTAGTCAAACAGCTGATTTATTTTTGTTCTCTGTGCCTATTTCTACGAGATAAGTTTACCTTAAAACAAATTTTTTTTTTAAAACAAATTTTTTAATACCATAAAAAAAAAATCCTAAGCTAAGATTTTGTTGTGAATGGTGGCACTGAGGGAAAATTTCTAGTTGGTCTTTTTGACATCAACCACCAACCTCAAATATTAAAAATATTGCTCACAGAGCTAAGATTCCCCAATTAACCTTTAAAGATCTCTCATCTGTGAATATACCTGAACTTTTTTTGTATTCTCAGCCAGTACCACATTCTCCTTAGGTTTTTTTCCCTTCTATTTCAAAATAAGATTGCCTTTCAGTTTTACCCAAATTGATTTCATTAGCTGAATTAATTTGGCCATATTGGCTAGTTGTTTCAGAATTAAGTAGATAACAGCCCAAGCATTAAAAATTCAGTTAATTTTTAAATTTTTTTTGCCAAGAAAACAATGAATCTAGAAATTCAGAACTTTAAAAATAGAGTCCTAGCACCGCATTTATTTCAGAATAGTAACTTAGTTGTGGGTGTATATAATAGAGCAAAAAAGCAAACTTTGAAATTAAGGCTGCTCCCTGTTTTAGTCCAGTTATTTCTAGCAGAACATTGGGTTATGGAGCTAATTTGGGGGATCTGAGTTGATGTATTCACTCATTCAGTCAAACCTTTATTGAGCACATCAGGTAAACCAAGCGCCACATTGGGTGCCGGGGCTAAAGATAAATAAGATCTGATCCCTGCTTCTAAATAGTTCACAGCTGGTCTAGTCCTTCAGGGAAAATTAATTTCATTTTAGGACCCTTCAGGCTGTGGACTTCAGAAGAAGCATTTTTATTTGGGGCGGACCTATAGCAGTGTTTCTCAAACTTGGCTGTATGTTAGGATAGCCTGAGAGCTTTCAAATAATTTTCATGTTCAGGCTCTACTCCATGCCAATTAAATTGGAATGTCTGAGGGAGGGGCCTAAGCACCTGTATGTTTCTAGGGCTCCCCAGGTGAACCTGATGTGTGCCAGGGTTGAGAGACACTGCTCTGCAGGCCTTGCAGTGTTTTGGGGGAAGGAAGAGCAAGCTCCAGACTATGATGGATTTGAGGGGTAGCATGGACCATGTCTTTGGGGAGTGCAGGACCACCTTGTCTGACTTGCAGTTTGCTGGCTTAACACCTGTCTTCTGATTGTAGCTCGGGCAAGGGACAGGGCCCAGTAGGCGAGAGACACAGCCGGGTGGCTGAAGAGTCCCAGGCCCTTGTGCAAAAGGGAAGCCCCTGCGCAGTCGTCCTCCCTGACACTGCCCCCACTTCTCGGTTGATGGCGAATTCTGCTCTGCAGTGTTCTCATGACTCATATTAGTTACGGTTCTAGTCCCAAGGAACATCAAGGACAGCTCAGGCTTAAGGCAGGGTGAGGTGGTGATGGGGTGGCATGGTCACAATGGATGGCTTCCAGTGGTGCCTCCTGGTCAACTCCTGTGTGATGGGAATATCTTCCGTGACACAATCCACAGAGGTGATGTTTCCTGCCTTTTATAACTTTGCTGGAGAAGCAAGTTAAAACCATTCTCAGGTTATCTTCATCCTAGGGAAACAAGTTTTGAAGTTTTGAGTACAAAGTTCCAAATGATCTGTTCTCAAATTCATCTGTGCTACTTTTAGATGAAAGGGGTTATAGAAATCATAATATTATTGCTTTTTATTTTGCTAAAGGTAAAGGGAAAGAGAGGAAGGCAGGCTGGAATACCTACTGTAATCTCCTCAACCCATACATGTCTCCTGATGGCTGGGTGATAACCTGACTCCTGATAATGCCTCAGAGAGGAACACTAGGGGCTCATCCTGCTGGCCTGTCCAGGTGGGGTCAAGAGGGACGGGGGACAGGCTCACAAAGAACCCATTCCAGCTGTTCTGCCTCAGAGCAGACACTCCTGCTAGACCCAATCAGGGCAACCATGCTTATTTTTCAAAGTGAGAACCCACAGGAATCATTTATTTGGAAGGAGAACAACATGTAAATGTTCTTGTGAAAATGATCCTGTTTATAACCTGTATTTTCCCAGAGCTAATGGTATAGTTAATTGATTCATTCACCACGAATTTATTGAGAAGAAGACCCATTCATTCCACAAACTTCCTGTAGGTACTGGCTCTGTGCTGGGTGCTTGGGAGACAGATGCAGACATGCTTCCCACTTCCAGAAACGTAGCAGCCTAGTAGGGGAGACTGACCTGGAAGCAAGTATGAAAATACACTATGTGGAAGTGTGCTGTATGCTAGGCATGTACAAATGTATATAGTAGGGATTCCAGAGAAAGGAGTGATAAACTGCAGGGGACACTAGAGTTAAACCTGGTGTGGAAGAATCAGTAGGATTCTATCAGGGATAGAAAAAGCAGAATCAGACATGTAGGTGGGGGATCTTAGTTATCTTTTGGGACTGAGGCAGGAAGGACGCTGTGAGCCATGCCTTGGGGTATGGAGTTTGTCAGCAGGGCTTCTGGAGTGTTTTCAGGCACTACTGTGACAGAATCATCCATGTTTCATCCATCCTTTCTGTTTTAGGAAGTCAGGCGTACAATGCAGAGGAGAAATTCAGGAGCAGATTATAGACATAGGGAGGCCTGATGAACAATGCCAGTGGCAGTGGGAGCGCCCAGAAGGAGGGAGGGATGGGTGAGAAATTCAGAGGAGGTGCCCCCAGGAAAAGGACAGATTACCTGTGGGTATGGGGGACAGAAGGGGTGCAAGGAGGTTGAGGGCTCTGGCTTTGGTGAATAGGTGATCCATAGTGCCATTGGCTGAGATCACTTGGGATCCTCTCTTTACTCCTTTTAAAATCTGTTTCTCAGCCCTGGCAGCATATTCGACTCCTTAACAATCATTAGAGCTTTAAAAACAGACCCGTATTTAGGCCCCATCCTGACCAATCAGGCTCTGTGGGAGTGAGGCCCACATACTGGTGCTTGAAAAAGGCATGCAGCCAGGGTTGAGAACCCCTGACCTGGTAGCTCTGCTGTGACACCTGTTCTGGTCCTCTAGGCACAGGTCCTTCCCCCCTGCTCTGTGTCCCTGGGTCTCCTTGAGTCTTTCTTGCCTACCACCCACATTTGCTAGCAGCTAAGCTCGCTATGAACAGTTTCGAGAGTGGATGTTCCCAGAGAGGCTGGCCTTCAGGAATTCTAGAAGACGGTCATAGCACCAGGCATTCCAGTCAATTATATGGTGATAATTCACAGAACAAATCCTTTGGGATCAAAGATGCTTTGTTCAGATCAGATCTGTGGGCCAAAAGGGGGCCTAGACAAAAGGCAGGGGGGCTGTGTCAGGTGCAGTCTAGAGGGGCAGGGAGAAGCTGGGCTGGAGCAGGACACTGGTGATCCTGTGGTCTGTCTGTCATGTGGCTTCACCATGTGGGTGGGGAGGGTAATGCAAAGACTGAGAGGGTGCCTGGCAATTTGCCTGTGGAGGAGAAGTGTAGAAAGAGTAAGGTTGGGGCAGAGAGGAAATCTTTATCCTAAGACAGTGCTTCTTAAACTTTTGTGTGCATGTGAATCGCTTTTAATTTGAATTATTAAAAAAAATGTTTATTTATTTTGACAGAGAGAGAGAGAATGAGCCAGGAAGAGGCAGAGGGAGAGGGAGAATCCCAAGCAGGCTCTGAGCTCAGATCCCAATGCTGGGCCCAACCTCATGACCATGAGATCATGATCTGAGCTGAAATCAAGAGTTGGACACTTAACTGACTGAGCCACCCAGGTGCCCTGTGAATCACCTTTTTAAAATGTAGACTGATGGGGTGCCTGGGTGGCTCAGTCGGTTAAGCGTCCAACTTCAGCTCAGGTCATGATCTCGCGGTCGGTGAGTTCGAGCCTCGTGTCAGGCTCTGTGCTGACCGCTCAGAGCCTGGAGCCTGTTTGGGATTCTGTGTCTCCCTGTCTCTCAGACCCTCCCCCGTTCATGCTCTGTCTCTCTCTGTCTCAAAAATAAATAAACGTTAAAAAAAAGTTTTTAAATGTAGACTGAGGTCCCCTGAATCCCACACTGCTCAGGCGATACAAATGCTGCTGGCTCACGGGCCATGCAAAGAGTAGCAGATTATTTGAATGCATCTCTAGTTCTCTATACAATTTTTAAATCAATTGGGTGTTTAAAGAATAGGGTCTTTTTAAAAAGTCTTTAAAACATTACCCTTTTTAAGCAAGTTTCTGAACACCCAGTACTATTAGAAAAAAATATTTTAAAACTGGAAACTGAAAGAGAATATATGAACTAGTCTACTAGTTTATATAATGCCTTTCCTCCTGTGAGTTTTTGAGATCAGGATTGACCTTTCCTTTTCACTTCCATGTGATTTCAAGGGAGGTGGGAAGGGCTACTGGCCTTTTACCAGCATTCCAGTGCTTAATATTCTTTTAACAAAGTGGGCAGGTCTTTGATTTCACAGCAAAGGATGGCCTGGTAGCCCCATCCTTTGTGGGGGTGGGGGTGGGGTGGGGAGGACAGATGGGAACACTGATTAGTCACAGGAGGTGCAGAGAGCATAGAATTAGAAAGGGGAGTGGGAGTGGTAAGGGGGGTGCCAATTAATATATCTGTCTCTTACCTTCCCATGTTACCAATTTTTAGAGAAAGCTTGCTTGTTTTCATGCTGTCATCTGCACATTGGTTGCCCTCTCCCCACTTGTGTCAGCCTCCTGCCATTCATTCCCTCCAACTCTCAACAATTCACTTCCAGATGTGAAATATTTTAGTTCAAGAAGGACCGTATACTTAGTAGACCGAGGTGGTTTGTGATTTACCTTCCCAGTCGGAAGAAATTTGGAGAGTAACCATTACCAAAGCCCTAGAGTGCCCCCTGCTGGAAACTACTGAGATAGATAACCTGATTTCCTTCTACCTTCTATTCATTTGTTCATGAATTTGACAAATATCCTTTGAGCCTTAAATGTGCCAGACATTGTGCTAAGGACAGATATGATACCTCTTTGCACAGAGATCAAAGTCTAAAGGGGGAGTGTGTGATTAAACACTGTAGAGTATTTAGAGTTTTAAAAAGCCAGGAAAAACATGCCAGAAAACTTGAAGGGAAAAATGCTCTCCTTTATCTTTTACCAATTTTTTAGGAAAGCAGGTAGAAAAAGTTTGTTTCTAACATTTTTGGAATACTACTAGGTCTTCAATGTGAGTAATCTCGAGTGCAAAAGTTCCAAAAGAATTTTTTCCTTTAAAATGTGAATATCAGGGGCACCTGGGCACTCAGTCGGTTAAGTGTCCAACTCTTGGTTTTGGCTCAGGTCATGATCTCACGTTTGGTAAGATCGAGCCCTGCGTCAGGCTCTTTGCTGACAGTGCAGATCCTGCTTGGGATTTCCTCTCTCCCTCTCTCTCTGCCCCTCCCCTGCTCACTCACGTTCTTTCTCTCTTTCAAAAGAAACTTAAAAAAATCTGAAAGATTAAAAAAATAAAATGTGACTATCAAATTAGACCATCTCCAATATCATTTCCAGTCTGAAAGTATAGAATTCACGGTCCCTTCGTTATCAAAATTGTAGTAGTTAAATAAAAATAGTGGATTTATAATTGAAGAGCATTTTGCAAAGTAATCATATGCAGCCAGCACTTCTGTACAGCTATAGTATACCATGGCTCTCATGCTCCACGTGTGCCCACTGGTTTGTTTAATCCTCCGAACAATCCTGTAAGGTTCATGTTATCATCACCAACATCATAACTCCCATTAAAAAAAAATTTTTTTTAACGTTCATTCATCTTTGAGAGACAGAGACAGAGCATGAGCGGGGAAGGGATAGAGAGAGGGAGACACAGAATCCAAAGCAGACTCCAGGCTCCGAGCTGTCAGCACAGAGCCCGATGCGGGGCTTGAACTCACGAACTGCAAGATCATGACCTGAGCCAAAGTCAGACGTTCAACCGACTGAGACACCCAGGCGCCCCTCATCACTCCCGTGTTTAGATGAGGAAACAGGCTCAGACAGACCAAGTAACTTGCCTAGGATTACAGCTATTAATTAGCAGAGTTGGGATTGGGCTGTGCACAATCTGGGTCCAGTGTTTGTGTTCTTAGCCACCGTGCCATAAAGGACCTAAGAGTGCCTGAATTAAGCTTAAATAAGTTTACTGCCTCCTTGCTGCAGACTGCAGACTAGAAAGGGTAATGGATTATGGAATCTCCCCTGGGTGTGTATGTGTGTGAATAAAGTTCTCACTTGCCTGCAGTGATCTGGGTAGCTTAGAGCACCTCAGAGGCCGTGGCTGTCCTGCGCTACATGTAAGTGGTGGAGATGGCTGATGAGCAGCTGTGGGTTAATTGATTGATGACTTCTCAAGGCCTTTTACAGCCTTAGAATTCTATTAGTTTCTCTACAAGGAACAGGTTGTAAGGAGTGAAAGGTAATTTATCTTTTAAGAATTAAGTGGAATCCTTTAAACCCTTGTTTTTGTGCCTAGAGCTATATTCTGATGGAAGTGTTCTTTCTTGAGGTATGTCAGTGGTAAAGTAATCTGGCTTTTCAAATAACTGTCATCTCATACATTTATTTAAGTAAAGATAGCTGCGCTGGATATGTAGGTGCTGTGGACGACACAACAGAATCACACAACTTTGTAGAGTTACTACAGTGATTGCACTGAAAATATATATATTTTTTACTCTGTGGTAACACGTGCACACACACACATACAGACATGTTACACGGCCCCACTTAAAATCGTTGCGTATATCCAATATCCCTGGGTCTGGCGCAGAGCCTGGCCTAGCAGAGGCTAGATGCTCAATACATGGCAAATGGAATTAAGTGGAAACAAATATTAGATTGAAGCACTGAAAGCAAATATGCCTATCTCTACACCGTACATCCATTCCAGGCAAAGCTTTTGGAGGGTGAGCGAGAATTACCCTAGTGAAGAATAATCCATTCTACTGAAAAAAGAATTCTTGGCCTAGAGTAGTTTCCAAAATGTAATGCAATTTTTGTAAACTTTACTTTAAAAAGTTAGAAATTTTAATGATGTGACCCAATTTGGGCTGAAGTTTACCTTTGCATTATCTATCAAGAAACAGTGGTGAGAAAATGAATAAGTTAAGAATTATTGTAAGAGCTTATTCAGTCTACTTAAGGGAAAGAGTTTTTTTTTTAAAACACATTCCATGTATATTATAGCCAAATAATGACGCTTAATATAAATATTAGTCATATGTAATTAAAGAAACTTAATATGCTTTTAATTAAAAACACTTTAGGAGTTAATATATCATATATATAGTAATGAGTTTGTACTTCTTTTAAAGCTAGTAGTTATAAAATGCAGATAGATTTCCCCTAGTTGGTGCAAAATTGTGAATTTTGATGCTATGTTGTTTAAATGGAATTTATGCCACTTTCATTATAGTGCTAACAGAATTGTTTATTAAGGAGAGGGATGGATACTTCTTACGCTTAGGAGAAATGTTCAATGGCCATTGAAATCCTTTGATCATTTGCTTTTTTCTTCAAGGTCCTGATCATCCCCATTGCTTGTCATACAAACTAGAACTTGGATCAGACCAAGAAATTCCCTCTGATTGGTATCCATTTGCTACTGTTCAGTTTGGAATGCTTGACACCTGTGCCTCAGGGACAGAGGTCAGGTCTCTGGGTGTGGAGAGTGATTTCCAGCCACAGAAACATGTTCATCAGAGAGCTTGCTACAACATTCAGGTATATCCCAAAGCTCTTTGGTTGAAGTTGAAGCTTCTGAAGCTGTGGCCTAATTTGGCATTAGATATTTGTTTTGCCCTTTTGAGTGACTGTGTATATGTATATGTATGCGTGTTTATGTGACCTAGAAAAGAGCCCCGTCCTGGAAACCTGATGGTCACCAGTAAGCCAAGTTTCTCTCAGTTCTAGAAAATGTCAGGAGCTTGAGCACCAGTGCCACTTAATTCAGCACTCGATGAAAAACAGGGCGTTAAAAACAAATTCACATTCCAGAAGCATCTTTGTAATAAAAATTATGTTAGAATAACATTTCTCAAGATGTGTTCTATGGAACACACATAGTGATCCAAGAGAAAAGTAAGTTGGGGAATGCTATACACTAAATTAATGCTAAGTGAAGGCTCTGAGAAGTCCTGCAATAAAGAAACTTGTTAGACTTAACTCAGTTTCTCCCAACTCATTGCTTATTGATTCTTGTCTCTATGGGCATGTACATGTGGAACACCTGTCAGTATCTTCTGGAATAGTATTCTGTGGAGCACCCTTTGGGAAATACTGAGTTATTCTACCAATGTTAAGTGTTTACCATCAGCTCTTCTGCATTTTTATGCCAGATGAGTTAAAGAGTGACATACGCTTCCATCTGTTTCTTTCTTTCTTTCTTTCTTTCTTTCTTTCTTTCTTTCTTTCTTTCTTTCTTTCTTTCTTTCTTTCTTTCTTTTCCTTCCTTCCTTCCTTCCTTCCTTCCTTCCTTCCTTCCTTCCTTTCTTTCTTTCCTTGCACCTATTTCTAAACTTGCTTTTCCTTTTCATCTTCAAAGTTAGTAAATAATAGAGGTAACTTCTGTCACATATTTCCCCCAGTGTCTTGAAATGGTGTGATTATATAAGACATCATCAACACCAATGGGTGGGTTTATGATATACTAATAGAATTCAGGGTTTTTTCTTTATTTTGGACCATCTGTTTATAAGCCGATATGTTTGGGACCAGTGATTTTTTTTTTCTATTGATAAAATTAATTATGGGTGAGTACCATTGTGTGCAGCCCCTTTGGGATGGAAGGACTTAGTCCCTCAGCAGCTGGGAATTGCCCTGCTGAAGAAAGCTGCCTTGGCCTGGGTCACACCCCCTTCCTGGTGGATGCAGGTGTATTAAGACCCTCTTGCCTCAGCTTGGGTTAACTCTGCAGCCCTCCTAGCTCCAGCTCACCTGGCTAGAGCCTTTATGGTGACTGCATTACAGCCCGACTTCTTTCTGTCTGCTTCCTTCCCTCCCTTTCCTCCCCCAACAGACATTGACCCCGACAGTATTCCCCAGTACACTTTCCACATGCCGGTCTCCATCTCAGAGTCTGCTTCTTGGAGAACCTGACCTGTCACACTAGGTGTATCAGTACTAGGTGTGACTGAAATGTGGGTCAAATACAATGGAGAATTCATTGATCCCTATTTTCCTATGCATGGGTCCTTCCAGTTTCCTATTGTTTTAGAGGACAGCCCAAAATTATATAACAGAGTCCCTGCTGCTTTAATAGTATTTACTAATTGATCCACACTTGGTGACAGGCGGTTTCAAAAGGTCACCTTCTATTTAATAAGTATTTGAGCAATTTCAAAGTGCCAGGTACCACTCTAGATGCTGAAGACACAAAAGTGAACAAGACACAGGTCCCTGACCTCGTGAAGCATACCTTCTAGTCGGGGAACAAAACATAGTTTGTAAACAAATAAATAGTTTCACATAGTGACAGATTCTACGAAGAGAATAAAATAGGGGACTAAGATAGAGAATGATGGAGGGCTTCCTTATCTCAGGTGGTCCAGGGGGGCCTCTCTGTGAAGCAGTAACACTTGAGATGAAATGAAAAAGATGAGGGGCAGGTGGATGGTTCTGTCCATCTGGTTTACTAGTTTGTAAAGTAGTTCATTTTAATTAGAAGATTTTGGGTGAGTTATAAATTTCAAGGGGGCCAAAGGCTCCATATATGATACTTGGGGGTATAGTTGTTCACACATCTATCCAGGACTCTAAATGTCTTATCAGTGTATGTATTCTGTGTACTTTTCTAAACCCTATGTCTGACTTAGAAGGGAGGAGAGTTTCAGTCCTCTACAAGATCTGACCCTAGAGGGAAGGATTTGTGAAGCTCAAGAGGAGAACAGGCTGCCTCACTCGGGGCTAGCATGACACCGTGGAGGCACTGTGTGTCCAAAGGATGAGGTGGCTGCGGTCCTTGCCACATGCATGAAGTAGGACTGAACAGTGTTAGTTCTGTGTTTGCTAATGCTGCCATGTTTCGCTTTCGCATACAGGTTGAAATAGAAAAGAAGAGGATTAAAATCGATGGAGAAGACCCAGATAAAGCTGGTGACTGCGTAACTCAGTAGAAGTGGCAAGAGTAAATGATGACCCACTTTTCAAATATGCAATTGACAGAAACCATACAAAGATCTGCTCTGTGCCGTGGAAATGACTTTTTTATAGAGGGGTTCGGACAGGTCCAATGGCCTTGTTTAGAGAAGTGGAGACCTGAAAGCAAACAATCTGTATTTTATGCTTTTGATATGTTTGTGCTGCAGGAGTTTCATCTAAAATGTGTCTATAGTTTGTGTGATGTCTTTGTTTCCCATTAAAACTCAGAGTCACTGTTACTCAATGTGTTACCAGACAACCAGCTTGGCTAAAGGGTTTTGGAGTTTTTCATTACTCAGTGGCTCACTGTTTTGCACTCTGCATCACCTGGGGGCCACATTTATTATCTTCCAGTCCCGTCTCTTCTTGCTCTTCTTAGCACCTCTACTGGAGGGTGAGGCATTCAAAGGAGACATAAAGCGAAATACTCAATTTTCCCTCTTGCTCATCTCTGGAATGTGGCTAGGTGTAGAATGAGGCTGAAACCACAGGCTAAAATGGACATGTGGAAGCATCTGATTTTGAATAATTTATCTTCCTGTCCTCTTCCTACATTGGTGAGTAATCATCGACTGTATTTGGTACCTGTCTTTCCCCACAGCGTTATCATTTTCAAAATGTATTTGTGTTCTGGTGTGTGTTGCAAAGAAGCTATTTCTGTTGATATACATATTTCAGTACAAGTCACTAAGACATATTGCCTTTTGCTTGGAGAGATTCCTTTCAGAATGGAATGGTATTGGACACTAGTTAAAATATTTATGTATATTAGAGATGAATTTTTAAAGTTCATGAATATTGTCTCCCAAAAGTACAGGCTCTAAGAATGTATTTTTGATAAAGTATTATTTGTAATTAACATAAGCCTCTCTTGAGTAGAAGTCTAAATGATATTATGATTATTTTATGCTTGTGCTGCTATCGTGCTATTTATGCTAATTCTGCTTAATTTAGAGTATTTTTCTTTAAAAGATGAAGAAAATAAAAGACACTAGATTATTTTACCTGAATTTTTACAAGGTGACATCTCTATTCTTCCAAGTCAGGTAAATGCTTGGTTTCTAATAAAAAACCAATAGCATCAGCAGTTCAAATTCTGTTTATAATTTGACAGTGAAAGGTCAGACTTAAAATGTACGAATTCCATATTCTACAGATTTTTTTAGTCCAAAAAAACAATGCCCTCCATGTGGTATTATACACCTTCAATTTATATTGAATCTTAAATATGATTAGGAGGCATATTTCCCTATTTATCAGATTTCTTTTGAGTCAGAGCTGATGATATAATAATGTTCTTTCAAACAACATTTATTTGTTGGCCCACAGACTTGATGTCATATGTTTTATTTAATATTGTACTACATTCATTTTAATCTGTTCAAAACAGATTAAAAACAAACACTTCTGATAATCTGTATCAATCAGCAGATTTTATTGCTCATCATTATTTTACTTTAAAAACAGAGAATGCAAAAGTTGACTGTTAAAATGAATTGGTATTGTTCTTTTAAACTTCACTTGATACAGTGTGCATAATGTCATATGTTGGAGACTCACTGTTGATTGCATGGGAGGGGAAATTTGTGTGTGTGTCACTAGAAAAAAAATTCCACTATCTTTCCCCATCATCTGGTGTGGCACATTCTGGAGTGACTGCAGTCATGCTCAGAACAAATATGGAGGCAGGCTGGACCTGATGCCGTTCCATGATCCCAGGGAAGTCAGCTGGGTTAATTACTGCCATTCCTTTTAAATCTGTTTTATGGCATCCTGCCCATAAAGAACTCAGAGTCTGATTCAGATGAACTTAATGAATATTTACACTTCCAAATAGTTTCAGCAAAGCATTCAATTAATCACCTCTCATGCTTCACAGGTTGCCCAGTATTTGTGCGTACCTCACTGCTGGGGTCATTTACCCACCAGCCACCCAGCCTTTGGAGCATCTCAAGATTCAGTGTTGAAAACGCAGTAACAAAAAGGCTGACTAAAGCTCAAATTGGTTTCTGCAGCAATGCAAAGGTTGATAGCATTAACAGCAGGGTGCTACAGCATAATTGTTAATTTGCACATCTATTAGGATCTTTAAATATTCATTACTTAGCGTTAAATTAACATTCTGTGAAGGGAGGAGAGGCTTTTTAATACAATTCTTCTGACCTCAGAAATGGCAGAAGGTCAAATGTGACCATGGTGCTCTAAGTGAAAAATCAGGTGGAATTCATTTAGACTTACAAATTAAGAAGTGAAATTTCCTTTGTCAGAAACTAAATGATAATCTTCAAAACAACAACAACCCCCCTGCTTTTAAGGTTGGGGAGGGAGGAAGGATGTGTGTGAAGGAGGAAATCCTTTCTAGCGTTTTAATTTAGGTCATTTAGATCAACCCTTTATGAGTTTGACCATTTGGGGATCAGTTGTTTGATGGACACAATGGCAGAGTTCCAAGGAGTTGACCAGTATGAGACTAGATGTTCTGCTCTGGTTGCCTTACCAGTCAAAGGATGATACTAACTGTGTAAATGAATTCATGGCTTGATGGTTACCTGATCATTTGTACAGGTCTGAATTTAAGTACATGTCCTTTTTCTATGAGAATAAAAATAGTTGACCCATTAAATGTATGAAAATAATTACTTTGCAGCACATAAATAAAGGCTAGCATTTTGACCTGATTTATATATTGGGACAGTTTTAGGGTTTTAGTTTCCTCCATTCTGGAACTGTATTTATGATACAGCTCTTTTTCTTATAGATTCAGTTAGAAGGTCTTCCTTAACAATAAGTATTACTATATCTTACTCAAAATATGATTTTATGTCATAGCAATACAAATATAAAACAGGTTGAGCCTTAATAATCATGTAACAAAATATTTTGTAGATTGCATATTGATTTTTTAAAATTAAAGATGTATTTCAAATGGTTCTTGCTGTGCAATGGACTTATATCTGTTTTTGCAAGGTCTGGGACTGTTTTTTTTTTTTTTT